TTGCATGAGTTCAGGTACGATATACCTGATCTCTTGTAATAATTGCGGAGATGAATATATTGGCGAAACGGGCAGACCTTGTGTATCCGTATAAAAGAACACCTAGACGGCAAACGAAAACTAAGACGGAGCACCCCACTAGGCACGCATAGGATACAAAAGCATAGCGGAGACGATTTTGAAGTAAAAGTCAATATCGTTGCAAAGGAGTCCAAAACGCCAGCGCAAAAACTCCTTGAGGCTTTTTGGATCAATGCCAAAAACCCTACAATGAATAGCAGGGATGAATGCCCGGAGGTCATACGCGACCTGATCCCGTACGTTCGCATCGATTTTTGATGTGGGATGGTGCAGTCGTCAACCACATGCGACTATAATCAGCTGTTCTAAGCTTCCTCATTGGAAGTCACGAAAAAGCGGTGGGTTATTTCGAGAAGTTATTGATCATGTAATTACCAAAGAGTCTTTCGCCTTTTTGTAAGTGTTATTGAAGCGTTTGGCCTAGTAGATTGCATATCAGCATACCCTTCCAGGCTCTGAAGAAGGCGATACTGCCGAAACTTCAGCTAGCGTTGTATTGTATTGTGTTTTTATGGAAGTAAATGTGTGCTGTTTAAAAACCTCGCGATTGCTGAACAAGAGAACGACAAAATCGAGAACTTTACCCTTCAGGTCTATCCAGCACGATATGGTTTTCTTTGAAAAAAAAAAAAAAAGAAAAAACGATTTGTCCACAAGATGCGATTCTGTTTTTTCTACAAGAAAGTGAGCACTATTAACACTGTTAAGCACATACTTGATAACTCCTTTGGAGTGTAAAGGTTGCAACACATTTTGTTTGTATCTGTTTGTCCACTCGCCAACAGGTAGCTCTGTAATCTCAAGTCTGAAACAGAAACATTTTTCATCAAAAAATCCATGAAAATTAAAAAAAAATATTAATAAGCACTCGGACGAACGTGTAAATCAAAATATCTTGAGTATGAAGAAGAAGAAGGAGGGAAGGATTCAAACTATGGAACGAACGAAAGCAGTGCTAGGAGGAAACGTACGTGATAAATGGTGCATTTTTGCGTCTCAACGGTAGAAACTTGAACTTTCCACGTATTTCATAGCGATTTTTGTCGATTTCCTTCACAGTTCCAGAAAAATCGGAAAAACAGGGTACCTACAGTTGGCGTAATCAGTAAGTAAAACGGCATCCTGTACAAAAATAAAAGGAGTATGAAGCTCACCATCTTCTCCACGTCATATCCGTCAATTAGTCTTCGAACATTATCAATTACATTTCTGATATTATGGCTTAGTACACGAGTATACCACCCAGTAGCTATGCCTTCGGCGCCATTAACCAGAATCATAGGGATTATCGGGCAGTACCTTAACACTGGAAAACGTTGGCACCCAGTGATAACCGATAAACCTGCAAAAGAAAAACCATTATAGAAAAAAAAAGGATCCTCACCACTCCGGTTCGATTAACTGATTTTCCTCTTCCAAATAATTTAGTATATGATCATCAGCTAATGGAAAGATCAGTCGAGTGAAAGGACTAAAAGAAAGTAAATAGCGGAGAGAATCCCGAATAAGCGGAAAATTGAAGAAATCAAATGTGGTGCTATTACAAATTCGAGCCATTGTTTTTGGAACCACATGATATGATTCTCCAAACCATTATCATCTTTTTTCGTATTAATTTAATGTTCACTTTCTAATGCGCTTCTTCCATTCAATTCGTTCCTTCGCATACATCATCCATCAAGGTTTTAGGATTTTTGAGAATACTTCTCGGCTCCACGGATCTCGCTCATATGAGGGGTCTCGAGCCGCTTAGTAGCGAGGCTATGTGGCACGTCTCCAAGTGGCGGATAAGACTTAATCGCGGACCAAAAGCGACTTTGTTTCACTGAGACGCAGGTGCATCTAGGGTGTGGACTCCGTTTCCGCTGCGCCGATTTAGCACATACTTTCTGTATTTACGAGGCGTATTCATGCACATGCGTGTGGGTGCGTTCAAGCGGCCAAAAGCCCGCAATCAAGTGACAGGGGAATATATAGGAGGCGGTTAGGTGTCGCCTCCAACAAATAAGCTCCATGTCCACTCTGGGAGAGACGGGTAAGCTACCAGTGAGCATACCCAGTCACCATGTTTAGGACCCAGCAAGGTATGCGTGGGTTTTAAAAGGATAAAAACAATAAAATAAAAGGACTTCATTCCCCTGACCCCGAAAGGGCCCCCAATTTGGCAGCGTTGGGTAGAACGAGTACGGATAGGCTGTAAAATCTCAACGCCAATGTAAGCTGCCTCGATCGCAAAGAACTAAGGTGACAATCTGTACCTGCAATGCACGTACACTTGCATCCGAGTCCTCGATAGACGTCTAGATAATTCAAGCAAGAAAGATAAGGTATGACGTCATCGGCCTTGTCGAGACGAGACGACGCCAGCCACTCAACGCCGTCTATGACACCGGAGAAAAACTGTTCTTCGGAACACGCGACAGTAGAGGAGTCGGCGGCGTCGACATTCTCGTCAACAAGAGTTTGTCCATGAACATCGATTCATTCGAACAACTA